TATATTAGCGATTTTTAAATTATTTCATGAATCTCACGAAAGCATGACAAGTGTTTTATTCTGTTCATTAATAAAAAAATTGTCATACGGTTTTTGATCAATTTCATGAATCCGGATAAGGCATAAACTTGTTTCAGATTTCTTTTTGTAAACTGTTTCGACCAAAGAGTCAAAAAATCCAAGTTACAAGAAATATTGCATTTCTTATAACTATACTCTCTGCAAATACTGTGTATTTCTTGTAACTACTCATTGGAAATAGACTTTTAGTCGAAATATACGTTAGAGATAACTTAAGAAGTCAGATAAGTCAGGACGCAAGGATATAAAGCAGACAAAAGCGCAGGGTCGAGTCGCCTTCAATAAAAAGAAGTCACGTCTATGTTCGCGAACGGTTAATTTAGAAATTCGAAAAAGATTGTTAAAGGTGTATGTTTGGAGCGCGGCGCTGTACGGGTGCGAAACATGAACGGTGGGCGCGGCGGAAAAGAAAAGATTAGAATGATGATGATGATGATGACGACAATATTTCGTTTTTATTTAATTCAAATTATCTTATTTATAGCGTAATAAGTATTTAACACTAATAATTGTATGTATTAAAATATGGAACATGTTTGCGAGATTTTTTTATCACCGAAAGCAATAGCACAATAAGTAATTCTTGAATCAAGTTGAGGTCATCTCGAGTAATAAATAGTTATCGGGACACGAAAAACCAATTTCAGTATTAAATTTCGTAACAGAAAATTTCAGATGCGGGAGATAAGTGCCATAAGTCGTTTCTTCAAGCTACTGCCGCGATGTATAATGATCGAAATATATTATTTAGTTCATATACTTATAACAAACAGGATATATATCGTGCTGGTATCGGTGCAGAGTATAAGTGCGTCAAGGACGAGGAAAACACGACCCGTCCAAATATTTCACGATTTCAGAATTTCCCTCATCATTAAACTAACGGTAATACAACATAATTCCATTGTTGCAAACTGTGGCTGATACCTTTCATTATCCTGTTACGTCCAGCGTATAATTAATGACACTTTAACACTCCTCGAAGTTTACTGACGTCAAGGAATAAGTTAATTATGACTTTCTTGTGAGAAAACCCTAAAAGATAGCTCTTCATTATCCATTGCAACTTCTCGACAATTCCTTCTCCTCCAAGGTATATGTACGAACGAAGAAACAGAATAATTATACGATATATACAATCGTTAAATTGCAAAGCCAGAGCACAAGTTTCTTTTATTAACATTTAATCAGTATGTATGCAACTATGATTAAAAGCATTTTTGGTTAAGAATATGCCATGTTGTGATGGAGATACCTAACAAGTGACGAAATGCCATCTCATAGTGTCAAACGTTATTCTGTCTAGGTGCATTTACATACAAGGAGATGAAGTGGGGAGACATGTTTGAAGGAAGGGTCCTGTCACACCTTCTCACGAAACAGAAAACTGTATTCCATTTTCCCCGGACTTATACGGATGTTTTCAGTAATTAAAGCCAAAAAGGAGTAAAAAGCTCTTTTCATGTAAGAGAACTAATGTCAACTTTTCGTCCTAAATCATTAGGCCTTTTGAAAGCTATAAAATAATGAACATGATGTTAGTGTTACTTATCCACGGAATGTAATGGTCAGTCACCTACAGTTTTTAAGAGTTGTAGAGGACCCGAGTTTCCCGAAAGAGTCAATACAGATTAATAAGCAGATTGAATTTTTTGAATTCCGGGAACATATTAAAAGAAAACATTGCCTCTCAATATAATTAACAATTGAACAAATAGAAACACTAATAGCTAAAAATATAAAAAATTAAGAGTCACGTGCTGACAGACAGATTAAAAGCCAAAATTTAGTGATTATTGTTTGTTTTGATTTTATTGCAGACAACAGCTATATCGCATTTTTAACTTTATCCGGTTTTTCTGTTTTTTATATTCATTTTTTATAATTATTACTAAATTTTGGCCTTTTAATTGTACATTATTAGTTTACCATCAATCGGCTTCTATAATTATTTATTTATTATTTCAATTCCACGACCTATTTTATCGTGTTAATGAGTATATATGTTTTTAATTTATAAAATTGTTAATCTAATTTAGTGGCAATTTTTTTATTTATAGTTTGTGTGTTGTTTCACATTAGAATGTATTGATGAAAATATTACAGCAAACGGCTATGTAAACAAGATTTTGTAGTGAAAATGAATTTTTAAGAAAGCACAAAATTTCCTGAAAGCTCCATGAATTAATCTGTCTTTTGTACAAACTTTTTTCTTTCATTTCGTTGTTTTTACTTGAAAACGCTAAAGATTAATATTGCGTATAATTATTAATTAATAGGGCAGTAGCTAGGGTTATCTATTGGGTTTATTACGCCAACACCGTACCGAAAACATCTTGGACTTGCAAAAGCAGATTTGCAGACAAGAATTCATTTTAAACCGTTACAAATGTCACCAGTATTTTCTTCGTCAATGGTCCTTTTAATTCTCCAGCCCTCTTGAACATACTTCGTTGCTCTTCTTTTCGGAGACATATTTAGCTCTGTCCTAGTATGAAGGATACGTAATAGGCAGAATCATCTTTTAAAAGTTTTAGAAGCTCCACGATGTTTGGATGTGTTTTTCCAATATTTGTGGTGCGATGCCGCTCTCCGTAACAATGCCATATTTATCGATAAATTGAGCAAATTATTTTAAACACGTTTATAAGAATTATAAGAATTTTATATATGCATTATAATACCTAATTATGAATTCAAATTAATTATAAGGGTAATAAAGTTGGTGGGCGGAAATGCCACTATTTCAGGTTCAATATTTTCGCGGGCAGCAGTGGGACATCCCCAGGAATCGACCCAAATGTGGCACTTTATACTTCAAATAAGCATCTAACCGGTAACGATTTGTTTCAGACAAAAAAAAGAAACTTACAATGTATACTTATTATTAATCCCACTCTACCGACCCCTCGCAACAGACATACATACGAACTGTCACAAAAAACATCTTAAAACTCAACTTTGTTAATTACTGAATTACTTAAATGTACAAAGTATTATTTCCATTATTACACGTAGGTATTTGTATGCACACACAGCTAAATTGATTCAACATTTAATTTAATCCATAAATTGTTATTTTAACTCATTTCGAGTTATTTACAGCGCAAGTACAAGATATAAATTTTGCCACGCACTGAAATATAAAACGTTTCGCATTTTTGTTTTACATTTTATGTTTCACCTTCAAAATGAAACTAGAGATTGCAATAACTAGTATCACGTTGTGTCATAAAACATTATGTGGTTTAAAAGATTCATTTAATGCGTACGTTCGGGCCCATGACCGTTTGTTTATGACAGTAATACCACGACCGATAAAACATGAACCTATTAGGAAACATCAAATTTATTGAAACTTAAAAAGTGCATGATAAATAATTTAATGAATTTAGTATTATACATTCCTCTTCTTTGATAAACAGTGGCGTAACAAAACGTCCTAATAGGCCCAAAAAGGTTTTCTAGTTTATTAGTTTTCCTGTACATATTTGTACATACATGTGGCAATAGAACTTAATTAATCTAACAGCAAAGCAATGTTAAGAAGAGACTTTTGTTTAGGAAAAACTGAACCTTTGTCGTTTTTTGGATTTTGTGACTATTTCAACTTCATAGAGTGACCACAAGCATCACTATTTTCTTTCCTTTAAATTTTGTTTTAAACTAAAGGTATAAACATTTTTCGATATTAGATCTGAATTTTAGGTCGAAAAATACTGAAAATGTTGTCTGTATTTTTTGATATCCTTATATAGATACTGCATCACGCATTTTGTATATTCAATCGCTCATATCTCAGATTAATAATGATTATTTAGTAGTGATTTTGAAACATAATTTATGAGCAAAGATTTTTGACCTATTTTTGCGGTCACTGTTTGAACTAATTACTCACTCATCAACAGAGCTGGACTGAAGATTTTGGCCCATGGTGCGATGTAACCAAATGGCCTGGTTTAGAAGGGAAAGTGCACAAATTTTAACAGCACTCGTTTTTAAATAGATTTAAGAAGTTACGAGGAAATTTGCGTTTGTCTTTGCCTTGGTTTTAATTAATTAATCTAGCCTTAATTCTTCTAAAACATTTTTTTAACGTTTCTTTATAAATGATATTTTTATAGTTTGTTTCTTGTTTTCCTTTTATAACAAAGTTTGAAAACTTTTAAAAAGTTTTTTTTTAATTTCTCTTTTTTTCACATTTTTTGAGTCATTTAGCCCGGGAGGCATTTGGCCCGGGAGGCATTTGACCCGGGATGCATATGCACCCCTGCACTTCGGGCCAGTCCGGCCCTGTTCATCAAGTCCAAGATAAATTAGTAAGAAGACTTGTTTGAAGTTGTAATGATTGTAGTTTTTCTGAAACTGCATCTTTGAATCAAAGAACAAGAAAATATTACAATAAAATTGCTTTTCATGATCACAATCGTGCTCGATATCTTCGTTTTCGTCCTTCGGTAATCTCCTTAAGGAACGTAGCAAGGGCGTAAAATCCTTAGCTGCGGTTGCACTGATACTGACACTGAAGCATGTAGTGACAACTGCACGGAAGGACTTTATTACGCTCTTGCTATAAATACGTTCTAACAACACCGGCAGTTCAGAGCTACAGAACTACACATATGGCTGAAGAGGACCAACTACACTGGTCCTAAAACGGCCTGAGGTAGAGGGGTTTTAGTTGGTAGGCGCTCCTTCAGAGTGAATCCAACACTACCCTGTCGTTCGGACGGCAGGGTGTCTTTTGAAGATTTCCCCTCTTCCACGAAAACATAAAAAAAAAAAAAAAAAAAAACTTTTTCGGTTTCATACACGCAGCAGCAGTGACGGCCGACGTTTAGCCGTTGTCACTTTTTCATTGTCATTGTCGAGCGACGAAATACATACGAGGAAAGCATGTCGGGCAGAGGGAAGGGCGGAAAGGTGAAGGGAAAGGCCAAGTCCCGCTCCAATCGAGCCGGTCTTCAATTTCCGGTCGGAAGGATACATCGGCTTTTGAGGAAGGGAAATTACGCTGAGCGCGTCGGAGCCGGCGCTCCCGTCTATCTGGCGGCAGTGATGGAGTACTTGGCCGCCGAAGTGCTCGAGCTCGCGGGAAACGCCGCCAGAGACAACAAGAAAACGAGAATAATCCCTCGCCATTTGCAACTGGCGATCCGCAACGACGAGGAGCTCAACAAGCTCCTTTCGGGAGTGACGATCGCGCAAGGTGGAGTCTTGCCGAACATCCAAGCCGTCCTGTTGCCGAAGAAGACGGNGATAAAACGAGTTCTCTGATTGTAAGACGTTTCTCTATACCTACGAGAAGAGGAATAAAAATGAACAGCGACCTTTTACCGCGTTGGTTGAGACTGAGTATTGTGTATCCAGCTGTAGTAGTAAGTGGGAATAATTTGTGAAGAATTTAAATAGGATTCGATTTAGATTACGAAATTGCTTGCGAATTATGCAAACTGCACCTGTGAATATCAAACGGTGCAGCGTCAATTGGATGGTGCAATTTTTTTATTAAATTAACAATTAAAATCTCAATCAAATAACAGATGCATTTTCTTATTTGAAGATGCGATCGGTCCAGTGCGGGTTGGTGTTTTGATTGGGTATATTTAAGAGGGCCAAGTCTGCAATACATGCATGTGCTCTAAAATATATGAATACCAATAAATAAAAAAAGAAAAAAGCGGGTACTTTAGCCAAAAACAAATATCTACCCCACGATTTGCGATGTTAGTTGAAGGTTAAAAATAGAAATTAGTTGATTCAAGTATTTTTCTAAAAAATATAAGGTCGAACGTTTACTGAATTTATTTAAACTCTTCTGATGATTGTCAACTTTTAATGGAAGTCTGGAACAAGTCAGTAAAGTAGTTTTCGTTATGTTCATTAATTTACTGCAGAACCGACTTCATTTTCGCATTACTATCTTCGTTATTGATTGTTTTTAGGCTCTGTGCCTCCAAAAAAAAAAAAGGAACCCTTATAGAATCACTTGACTGCTTATGTGGCCGTCTATTTGTCTGTCAAGACCGTTTCGTTAGGAAGACTTAGAAGTATCAAGTTGAAATTAGTATCAAATATTTAGGTCTATAATCCCTTGGAGCTCCGAAATAATCAAACTTCTAAGTCTACACAATCAAAACATACCGTATATGTTGATACTCGCAATGGAATCAAAACATATAGATAGGGTATTTACAGATGACATAGAATTATGGAATTTGGGAAGAAGCAATGTCTTATAGCATAATTAAAAGGAAATTCCGAAAGCTTTATATTTGTATAGTTACATCATGAAAACAAAAACGAAATGTGTGCTGTTTACTGCAAATCATGATTTGGTTTTTACACAGACCGCAAATAGAGGCAATGATGCCCAGCCACGTGGAGAGCAGAGGTAAGAAAACAACAGCTGAGTACAGCACACGCCGCCGGGACTCTCCGCTCTCCGCGCGGCTGCGCATTATATCTATCTAATACAGCCATTGCCCTCTCTCTCCCTCAGCCGCTGCCACCGCCCACCTCGCGAAATACCGTCTGCACCGCCACGGTGCTGTAACGCTTTTCGTGACAGAAAAAATCGTAATACCCTCCGTCTACATAGTAGTATCACTTCAATAATTTTTTAATTTTAATATTGTAATTATACGCTTTGAGGATTGATTTCGAGGGGAAACTTGACATACTACTGAAAAATTCTGAGACTCGATTCCCGCAACGGACGAACCATTTACATACCTACACCTAGCGGAACCTCAGTGTGCGAGCCTGACTTGCTCTTGCCTGTTTTTGTTTTGTTTATTAAAACGTTTCAGCTGACGCCGCTTTGAGCTTATTGCAATTGTAACACAATTCTCGAAATAATGACTCCGTTTCTCCTAGAATTGAATTTCTTTAGATCGGCTTGGTACATGGCATAACAGAAGATGATCTCGTCGCGCCGGTCACGAATCGAATTAATTGAATATTATGTTTGATCCAACCTGCAAACCCCTTCGCAATTGTTGTTGCCTTTGTTTTTGTTCCCGACAAAGAGCACCATGCTCGAGATAGTTTTGTGTCGTCGCTGGTTGAAAAGGTTAAACAGCGTAATACATTATACAACAACATGTACATTGTATATACACATACTCTCTCTCTGTCTTAAGGGCATTCGAGTGAAATCAATTATTGCAATTATCCGTATAATGAGCGAAACACATCCGACTCCGTTGTAACGAATTACCTATCATCGCAATCTATATCGTAACTAACGAGTATGCTTTATAACGTCTGTTCCCTACTCATGAGGATAATTTTTAAAACTAATGATTTGTTTATATTCTTAATCATCATCATAAGGGCGCCAGTCCTAAGGCTGGTTGGACACGCACCTCTACCCTTTTCTATTCTGAAATAATCTAATTATTTGCTAACAGTAATCTAATCTAGGTCTATCTCTACTCCTCCTAACTCCTGTTTTTGCCTCTAATGTCTCAGACTAGACCTTCATGCCTGAGAAGGTGTCCTATTAACCTATCTCGCCTATTTCTTATTGACTTCCATAGAGTTCTCTGTTCTCCCATTCTTTCTACTACCTCTTCATTTCTAACCTTTTCTTTTCCGCTGCGCCCATTGTCCATGTTTCGCACTCGTACAGTGCCGCGCTCTAAACATACACCTTTAACAATTTTTTTCGAATTTCTAATGTGGCGAAATAACTGTTATTGTTTTGTTTTTGTGTGTAAATATTTTTTTTCTAATTTTTCCATTTCAATTAATATTTCATTTCAAGTAATATTTCCTTTCAGTCTAAACTCTATTGTTCTTTCAATCACTTTTACCTGGAAATCCAACTTCAACCATACCTGCATGCACTCCCATACTAATATCTGGTTTTACCCTTAATTGCTTTCTCTTGAATTCTGTACTATCTAATTCTGTGTATTCCTAGAAACTAGTGTCTTCACCCTCTCTCTCACTACTTTTCCTTCTAGAACATTCTATCAAAATTACTAACAACCCTATCCTATAAATACTCTAAAATTTCTTATCTCAAGAGAGTCTCTCGTCTACCGCTACTACCACCTTTCGTAAGTGCTTTTATTCTATTGCTATTCGCTACATTGTTTTCATTTTTGTTGTCTTTGTTATTTTTATTGTTATTGTTGTATTATCCCGTTCTTTCTGTTACTTACTTTGTTCTCGTTTGTTTGTGCCTTTTTGTTACTTGTGTTTCGTTGTTATTGTTATAAATCGTTATTCGTTATTATTAGTGTTTTCTTGGTACTCATATAATTTATCCACCAAAAGACACTAAACTAAATTAACTGTTCGCGAGCATAGAAGTAACTTCTTTTTATTGAAGGCGACTCGACCCTGCGCTATCCTTTGCTTTATATCCCTATTACTCCTTCCGTCCTGACTTATCTGACTTCCTAGATACCTAAAATCAGTCACATCTTCTAATTTTTCGTCTCCTATCTGTATATTCGCTCTTTCCCTACCTTTTCTTCCATTGCATACCGGTATTTTTGTTTTACATTATAAGCAATATTAAGTCCCTTTGAATCTCATCAGCACGCAGTAGCCAGTTCAGATGACACACAGACCAGCTTACTTGCTGACTAATATAAATAAGACTCGATGAAATTAAAATTTAAGCGCCAACGTCTGTATTAATCCAGTGTAATTTGTGGAACAACAAGCCAGATTTTTGAAGTTACGTATACCTACTTATTCTTTTAACAAGTTGAGAGTAAAATCTTAGCAGACAAAGAGATTTTTAATTAACAGATATACAGTAATTACTTCATCTTTTGGTCATACCTTGCTACGTCAACACTATTACATCATCATGCATCAAAGTAATTTTTCTATATTGTTGTAGACAAGCACACTGTGCAGGAAACAAACAGTGCAAAAGCAATAAGTTTATTAAATATCATAAAAATGCTATTGTCAGGATTGGATAGGGACTATGATTACTTTTATGGTACGAGCAATGCTTTTCTGGTCGACTGATATTAAACAGAGAAAGAATAAGAATAATAAAGAAAAAGCAGTTTGCTTTACTCTGTGTACTTTATAGCAACGCCTAGCATTTATGGTGGATGCCTAGTTTTTCAGTACAAAAATCGAGACAGTGTTACCTTGTAAAGTGCAAGAAGGAATACGACCAAACACGGTTGCCTCTTTCTTTCTTTATCTGTCAATCAAACAACAAGTTTTTTTAAGCGGCGAAGACAAGTTTGTCGTAGGTTATAAAACATAATAGTTAAACTAGTCATGGTTGTAACTAACGATGCTATTTGTCATTATCGATAAATTGTTTTGAATTTAAAGAAGTCTTAAATCAGAAAGAGATCACTTCAATGTTAATTAAAAATCAAATTAAAAAACTGAATAAATAAGCAGAACACCTGCTTTAAAAGCATTACAAATATACGTTTTTTAACAATAGCAATATATAAATATTGTTATTCCCACCTAAAATCACTAAATATAATAATACTAATATATAGAGTGTGACAATTGAAATAACATAAACAGACGATCTCAAATTTAGTAGCATTTCTTACCATATCTCACACCAAATGATACTAAATTTATGTATAATTGATAATTAACTGACTACAGAGTGTAACAGAAATGTGCTGAGGTGAGTTCAGTAGCGTGATTAAAGCCAAATTATTTTGTTAAGAAAATTAAAACAATTTACAATCCGAAGACGGCCCTGTGCGTGAATTGGCAACAGAGGTGTCTACCAATGATATGATAAAAGATCTGCTGCTAAATTGATTGAGATTGTAAGCATTGCCGATTATCGAACGTCTAAGATAAACATAAACAATTTAATTTTCATCATCATTAGCAGAAGGTCGTCAGTCCTAAGACTGGTTGGGATATATAGACAGAGACATAGAAGTTTCACTTCAATAATTTTTTAATTTTAATATTGTAATTATACGCTTTGATGATTGATTTCGAGGGGAAACTTGACGGACTACTGAAAAATTCTGAGACTCGATTCCTGCAATGGACGAACCATTTACATACCTACACCTAGCGGAACCTCAGTGTGCGAGCCTGACTTGCTCTTGCCTGTTTTTGTTTTGTTTATTAAAACGTTTCAGCTGACGCCGCTTTGAGCTTATTGCAATTGTAACACAATTCTCGAAATAATGACTCCGTTTCTCCTAGAATTGAATTTCTTTAGAAACGATCGGCTTGGTACATGGCATAACAGAAGATGATCTCGTCGCGCCGGTCACGAATCGAATTAATTGAATATTATGTTT